TATTTAAATATTATAAATGTAGTGTCGATACTCATGAAAGGAGTATCGATACTCCCTGTTCTAGCAGTTTTATTTTACAGAAAGTTAATCCCCAATGGCTAGAAATGACCACAAACTCATTCCAACATATAAAAACAAGTTGATGACACTTGAAGAATGTTACACAACACCTATCCAAGCAATCAAACACAAAATAAGAGCTTTACATTCTTATTTTCCTTTATCTATTAAATATTAGTGTTTTAGTGAGTCTAATTTTTGTAAGCACATTCCTTTAATAGGTTTTCTTGATTACATCTTTTATTCCTTTTGTAAAGGGGATATTGGTTCTAGCTTAGCCTATGAAAAGCTAGGAAGTTGTAAATGTTATCTCTTTGTCCTGGAAAAAGAAATAACAAATTAGTGAATTTATTAGAAAATCCTAAGTGAGGAGATTAGTTAGTGGATGTAGACTTGGTTTAGAAGTCGAACCACTATAAATCCTTATGCGAGTTGTTTAATCTTTATAATCCTTACTCCATATACTCAAAAAGATAATTCACCCCATTGGCAAATTATTCGGTTGCTCTATTTTAGATTCATCGAACTCCAACAACTGGTATCAGAGCTTGACTCATTAGAAAGTTTAACAAGCTTGAGACGATCCTTGAAGAAGTTCTACCAATTCCCGACGCAACCGAAAAGATGTCTTCAACCTCCAGTGCTTACTACATTGAAGACTCTCAATCGATCAACAAGCCACATTATTTCAATGTAGCAAATTATGTCAATTGGAAGAATAGGATGATGCTCTTCATTTAATCCAACGATCTAGGAGCTTGGAACTCAATTATGAAGGGATACTCAATTCCAACTGATGAGATAGATGATTGGAGTAATGGAGAGAAAAAGAAGTTCCAACTCAATGCAAAAGGTACGCACATTCTATTTTGTGCATTAGGCCTGGATGAATATGGAAGATTCTCATCTTGTTCAAATGTCAAAGAGATTTGGTACAAGCTCTAATTCACTCATGAAGGAACCAATGAATTGAGGGAAATAAAAATTAGTCTTCTCAATCATAGCTATGAGAATTTCAAGATGAACCCAAATGAAGACATCAAAGCTATAACGGAAAGGTTTTCCGTGATTATCAACAGTCTCAAGGGATTTGGAAAAAATATCCCTAATGAGAATCTTCTGAGGATGATGATTTATTCTCTTCTAAAGTCTTGTCAATCGAAAAAGACGACGATCATCGAAGCTAAGAACCTAAAGTCTCTCATTCTTGATGAGTTTATTGGTTCTTTTCTCACTCATGAGTTGATGGTAAAGGAATATGAAGATGAAGAAAAGAAAAATAAGAAAAAAAATGAGGTAGACATTGCCTTCAAATCTACCAATGAGAGTAATCAAGACTCAAGTGAAGAGATGGACGATGAAGAAAAAGAGATGGCCAATCTTTTCAACAGATTCATGATTTTTAAGGAAGTGAAACATGAATAAAAGAAAAATAAGGATCCCCCGGTGTGCTTCGAATGTCAAAGAACGGGGCATATCAAGTATAATTGACCCCTCATAAAGAAGAAGGGATCAAGCAAGAATAAGACATTTGTGGCGGCTTGGAGTGATGAAGATGACTCCAATGATGAAGATGAAGTAGCTAATCTATGCCTCATGACCATCGAAGAAGATTCAATGGTAACTTCTAGCTCTATTGAATTAAATTCTTATTCTTTTAATGAGTTACAAGCTGCCTATGATGAATCGTATTTGGAATTTGAGACCATGAATTCCAAATATAAGAAATTGATTTCAAAATACAAAGTTGAAAATGATTTTCTTTTGCAAGAAAAATTAGATTTTGAAAAGCAAAATGAAATTTTGAAAAATAATTTTGAGCTTTCAAAAACCAAAAATGAAGATTTGGAAAAAGAAAATCTTGAATTTAAAGTTAAGCTTGAATGCTTAACAAAAGAAAAAGAAATCATTTCTAAAAACATTTCATTTATGTTAAAAATGAAAAAATGCTCACAATGCCATTTTCATGGTCATATGGAACATACTTGTCTTTTAAAGAAAGGAAAACGTTTTAAAATTAAACAAGTATGGATTCCAAAGGGAACAAGGGGCATTGAAACTAACGTTCAAGGATCCAAAGCAATTTGGATACCAAAATCCACATGGTGATGAAAGTGAAGATATTCAAATGCTCTAGCCACACTTTATATGGAATGGGTAACCTCTAAGCTTAGTTTGATTATCTTGCATAATTGATTGCTCATTTATTTTAAGCATGCATGAGTTTTGATTTTAAATAATTTTATATTTTCTATCTCATGTATGTTAAAAAGTGTTGTGATGAACATTTTCTAAAGTTTTAATTTTTTTTCTTAAATGTTTGTTCATCGTAATGAATTTTGGTCAAAATTGGTTTTAATGTTTTGTTTTTAAAAAATTTAATTTTTTGACCTTATTTTAAATGTTTATGCATGTGATTTGTTGCAAATGATACCTCTCTAACAATTGATATCAATTTTTCAAATGCATAACATTTTTTTTATAGCTTTATGCACATATATTTAAATACAACAATTGATATTGCATAAACTTTATTAGACTTGGATATATTGAATTTCATGTGCTACTAACATGTTTGTTCATCTTTATTGAAATTCGTCGTCTTTTAAGTGTCAAGCTTTTAAGGTCATATTTTTGTTTGGAATGTTTTTATTAAGGGGGGCTTTGATTTTTCAAATGAGTTTATGCTAAAATTTACCACTTACTCTTTGTTGTTATTTTTGAACTTTAAAGTTGAATTATTTTTTATATAACAAAAAGGGGAAGAAGTATGAGTTTGAAAAATTCAATTTCAAGAATGGAAAAGGGGAGCTTTAATATTTTTCAAATATTTCTCTTTTTCATAAAATATTTTATTAAGAGAGAGTTTTGCCAAAACAAATTTTCAAATGTTTTGTTATATAAAAAGGGTGAGATTGTTGAACTATGTTTTATAATATTTTGATATAACACATTAAGGCAACATATTTTTGGACTTGATTGAATTTGTTCAAAGTTTAAAAAAAATAATTCAAAGTCCATTAAACTAGAATTTGAGCACAAAACAGTTTTCTAGGTACGTAGTACCGATACTGTTCTTACAGTATCGATACTACATGAACAATACCGATATTGTTCACTTGGTACCGATACCAAAGGTAAGAGAAGTATCGATACTCTCTAGGCAATATCGATACTACTAGTTTTTTTTCCAAATTACTCAAATTTCATATTGCAAAATAGGTACCGATACTCAAGGCGTACCGATACTAATTTTCACAGTGGCATCGATACCATGAAGCATAGTATCGATACTGGTCCAGCCCAACTGTCTTCAACAGCTAGTTTATTTAAATATTATAAAGGTAGTATCGATACTCATGAAAAGAGTACTAATACTCTCTGTTCTGGGCAGTTTTATTTTGCAGAAAGTTAATCTCCAACGGCTAGAAACAACCACAAACTCATTCCAACATATAAATTCTAACATATAAAAATAAGTTGAGGACACTTGAAGAATGTTACACAACACCTATCCAAGAAATCAAACACAAGAGAAGATATTTTCATTTTTAGTTTCTTTTTTCTTGTAAATATTAGTGTTTTAGTGAGCTTAATTTTTGTAAACACCTTCCTTTAAGATATTTTCTTGTTTACATCTTTTGTTCCTTTTGTAAAGGGGATTGGTTCTAGTTTAGCTTTTGAAAAGCTAGGGAGTTGTAAGGGTTATCTCTTTGTCCTGGAAAAAGAAAGAACAAATTAGTGAATTTGTTAGAAAATCCTAAGTGAGTAGCTTAGGTAGTGGATGTAGACTTGGTTGAGAAGTCGAACCACTATAAATCCTTGTGCAAATTGTTTCATCTTTATACTCCTTACTCCCTATACTCAAAAATTCAACTCACCCCCTCTTGGAAATTATTTTGTTGATCTAATTGAGCTTCACCGAATCCCAACAATAGGTTTAACTAAAATGTGGTTTTTTATGAAATTTTAACAACACAAGGATTATTATATTTTAGATTTTAATATAAATATTTTTCATTTCACTTAATATAAAAAAATGTCTGAATTATATTTCTTTTTATATTTAGGTGTTTAAATTTATTTCAATCATTGTAGGGGTCTTACATTATCATTTTAAGTGCATGATCCGTCACATCCGTTAAAAATCAGTCAACAAATCAGTATTTGACACGTGGTATAATTTTAAATTTCCTTTAACTTTTTTAAAAATAAAATTCATAAATTTTCAGAACCCCAATCCCCCAATTTTTTATTTTTTTCACAAAACACCCCCAAAATTCAAAACCTCCCCTCACCCCACCACACAGCCCCCAGGAACCCGCTCTGATTCCCCATCGTATAGGTCAACTACGATTGGAGCTGCTGGTGGAACTGCTGCTTTCACTTGAATAAGCCCTCATTCTGATTTTGAATTTAGATAAACGACGTGATTTTTCCCCTTCTATTCCATTCCCATCTTTAAATCCAATCTCCTAAAATCCACACCCTTGATACTAGATTGAAGGTGTCTAAAATTCATTTAATATTGATTTATGAAAAAACAATATTTAGTCTTTCACTTTCATTTTATAACTTGGTACCAAAGTGCTATAAAATGTGAAGCAGAGTCATCCTCATATTTATGGAAAAAAAAATTATTTAGTCTTTCACTTTCATTTTATAACTTGGTACCAAAGTGCTATAAAATTTGAAGCAGAGTCATCCCCATATTGCCGACGAGTTTACCAATAATTATATCTTTATTTCTCTAATTAATCATCCTCATGTGCCGACGAGTTTACCAAATATTGGCTTAATCAGCCCAGAAACTGAAAGAAACAAGTAAATGGAGAAAACTGTTATGTCATCACTGGTTCTTCAAATCTGGAAATGGTTACATCTTTTGATATGAACAGCTTACCTTACAAAGGTGACATAATAGTTCTTAAACTGCAGAAATACAAGATCAAAACACACCCAAATATAGGGTTACTTTCAATTTCTTCATAATTGCCCATCACCTTTATAAGTGAACCTACTCTACTACTGCTCATCATGACTAACAATCAAACAACAATCCTAGCCTCTCTAAATTCCTTTTTTCCCCTTTGCTGGATATTCTTGCAGAATCAACATTTTGCTGGATTTTCTAGTAAATCAACACCCGTTGAGGATGCGTTGCTTAACTTCTCCTGTGAAGAATCACTTGTACATCTCGACAACCTTGAAGCTTCTGCTGCCAAAACAAGGAATCCAATTCCAAAATAAACCCAAAGCTTGTGATTAATCTAAAACAGACTTAATTGAGTGTAATTAGTACCTCTTGATGAATTCAAAGATTTCTTGCAATGCAAAATTGCGCTTTGGATCCCATCGTGTTGCAGCAGCAGCGAATCATCTTTTCTACTAATGGTCGATGATGATGCAGCAGAGGTTGATCTGCTCTTTCCGAATTGCTTGCAAAACCTTGTTTGTTTCTCCTTCGCTGAAAATACTGGTGCCGGAGAACTCACCGGAGATGACACCGGCAAGTCACCCGAAACTTTTACCTCGTCACTTAAACTGTTCTTTCTGGAGGCTTTTACGTACAACGGCTTGAATTTATTCAAGTATTTCTGCATCAGACCCTTTAACAATCTCTTTGAGGAATCATCTGATAACGATTCCTCTGTCTTCCTTTGGGATTTCCGGTGACTGTTTTCAAGCTTTGGGGGTTCCGTAGGAAGGCCGATGAACCCAGCTTTGCCGGACATGAATGTGGAACTGGGATTTGCCACCGACTTGGACTTCCTCATAGTAAAGACTCGAAATTTCGGAGTTGACTTTAACGAAGCCATCGGAGATTGTGGCTTGGAGCTTGGCTCGATGGGGATTATCTTTCTCTTGGAGAAGTTATCACCGGGAGACAAAGAACGAGTTTGGTCATCCTTGGACTCAAATCTTTTCTCGCCATTAACGCGGTGCAAAGGAAGCTCCAAATCAAATAAATAGTTATCCCCTTCATCCAACTCGTGATCTGAACCAATCACAGCCTTTGGAATCTCGATTGTAGTGCTGTTGTTACCACGACAAGGTTGAGCTCGATTTTCTCTGTAGCCGCCATTGCTTGGTTTCCAAAACTTGGTGAAATTGAGAGCTTCCATGGCTATGGGAAAGCAAGGAAGGAGATAAAGATACAATCTTTGACAGAAGTTGAAGATGGTGAGTGAAATTAAGGTTTATAATTTCAGATTCCGAGGGGGTCTTGCTTTTGAACGGTATATATTGTAGGTATGGTTGTTTTTACTTGGAAAAAAATGCATATGAGAGTGAAAGAGAGAACGCTTTGCAAAAAAAGTGTGGGGGTGGGGGGGGAAGATGCAAATGCAATGACTGGCGAGAAAAGTTGGTAATTTAACGAATTTCCCATTGACTGAGCAACCCAAGGAATTGTGTGTTACATTATTAGGGGATAACTCTGGTGGCAGACTAAAAAATAGTTAAAATAAAGTGTTATCGATTTTGTTATTGTGTTAAATAATAAAATCGGTAAAAATTATTGAAAATATTATTGGGCGTTAACGATTTTGTTATTATTGGGTGTTTTTTATCGGATTTTTGAAGAAAAAAAAATACCAGAAACATTATTAGGCTTAAAAAATGACCGGATTAACATAATATTTTAGGTAATTACCGGAAAATTTTAGGTAATTTTTACCAATTTTATTATTTAAACGATAACAAAATCGATAACACTTTATTTTAACCGTTTTTAAACCTACCGCACCGTGGAACTTCTACATTATTTTCAACCCAACGCGCATTCCCTATCACCAGCCTTCTTTTTCTTTCCTATCATTCATCCCCATTTTACTATTGTGATTTTCCCAATTATCTTTTTACTCTTATTTGGGTCATTAAGATTTTAATATTTTAATTTAAAAATAAAATCTTCAAATTACTTCTATTTTGATCGGTCTAATTTATTTTATTAATACTTTTTACGATATGATTTACATTTTTATTTTTTTGCCACATTTGAATAAATAAAAACAAATCCAAAATCCTACCTCAAATCCTACACACAAACCTCAAACTTTAAATCACAAACTCAAACCTTAAACCCCAAATAATACCTTGAGAATCCAAGATTGTAACCCATAAACTCTATAGCACATTACTTGAACTCCAAATCACATCACCCAAAACCTCAAATTACAACTCTTAAATTTCAAATTGTAACATAAAGTCCCAAATTACACCTTTCTAAACCCCAAATTTAACTCATATTCCCTAAATTACAGCATCCAAACTCCAAATCACAATACATAAACCCTAAATCATATCATCTAAACCATAAATTACAATCCATAAACTCTAAAATTAAAACACTCAAACCTTAAATGGCTACACTAAAACTCTAAATCACAACCCCTGAACCCCAACACACATACCCTAAATCACAACCCTATGCCAACAATCATTGTCGAAACTTTGAGGTAATTTTGGGGTTTGAATAGGTATGAATTAGAGTTTATGATTTGACATATAATTTAGGGGTTTGAAAGGATTTTATTTTATTTTATTATAAAACAAGTCTGCTATTAATAATAATAATAATAATAATATACAATATCATAGTAAAAAAATAATAAAATAATGACTAAAGTTTTACAATATTGATATAAAAAAAAATTACTCGAATAATAATCAATCCGAATTATTTGTTTGAATAATACATTTATTACAATACAACCATAAGTCGTCACATAGAACACAGTGCAACACCCAACTAAGTCGCATGGAATATCATGCGACACCCACGGAGCATGAATTACCATCCAACACTCATAATGGTAAAACAGTTATACAATCAAATTATAAAATTTAGAATTGGATTTCTTCATGTAGCTATGCATGGAGATGAAAAAATATTGAAATTTTGGTGGATTTCTTCACATAGCTCTGCAGGGACATGAAATTTTGCAGGTGGAAGGTGGGTGTCGCATGGAGTTAGGGTTGTACTGTAAAATAATTCTGATTGATCATTATTCGAACAAATAATTCTAATTGATAATTATTCGAGCAAAATTATTTTTCATATTATTATTGTAAAAATTTAGCCGTAAAATAGTCCATATCATGAGGGAGTAATCAAAATAGAAATAATTTAAAATTTTGATAATTAAATTAGTTAAACATTAATGATAAAATTGGAATAAGAATATATTTGAGTGATGTATAATTTACCCTTTTTTAACTTAAGCCCATGGTAGAAACACTATTCAAATCCAAGCTTCTCATAAGATAATTTCATGGTTTTATTTTTCAAAAAGATTCTGATTAGATTTTAGATTTAATTTACCACCTTTCTTATTCAACAGTGTTCACTTTTAAATTTTAAATAAAAAAGTCTTTTTCACCACCCTTCTTGTATTTGTAGTTTTCAACTGTTCATTTCATTTGTTGTGTTTTTAATTCGATAGGTTACTCCAGCACGTGCTGACTTATTGGTGAGAAATAAATAAAAGAAAATATAATGGTAAGCGGCAGGGATTAAACCTAAATCTTTTGAAAATGATATGCCTAACAACTTGTTACCACATTAAACTAAAAAACATATTATGTTTTTAAAAAAAAGTAATATTTACATTAACCTGTATTTAAATTAAGGGTAAAGTATAGTAATGGTCCCTAAACTTTTCTGATGCATTCATTTAGGTCCTCCAACTTTTAAAACATGAAATACAGTCCCCCAACATTTAGTCCGTTTGCAATATGATCCCCGACGTTACACTGCCGTTAGAAGATGCAGACATGACAGTGAAAATTAGGGTAAATTATATAAATGATCACTGAACTTTTTAGGCTCTTGCATTTAGGTCCGCCAATTTTTAAAACTTGCAAAACAGTCCTCAATTTCATTCTAAACCCCAAATTCCAAAATAATTCAATTACATTCTAAACCCCAAATTCTAAAATACTTCAAAATAATATTGAGTTAACCAAGATTTATATAATTTTTTTTTTGATTTTTTTTATGTTTTGATTGAGTTGTATTCAGTGAAAATTAATTGTTAATGTTCGATTGAGTTCATGTGCAATTGAATAGTGGGGTATGCATGTGTAAATGATGCATGAACTTTTACCAATTTACTGCAGCAGCAAATACGCAACCTCTATTACCTTTTATATTGAAAAAAAGAAAAAACTCTGGAAATTGCTTCTTTGCTTTGAGTTATGCATGTTATTGTCAAGCAAATTGCTGGCTAAGTAGTTGATGCGTAAGATTGTATGCTTTTATAAAGTGCCAATTACTTGCATCCCAAGAACTTGAAAACAAATGTAGCATAGATATGGACAGTCAGAGGTAACTTGGACCTCCGATATACAAACTTTCACAACTTACTCTACTAATAAAATTAAAGGGCTAAAGTCTAACCAAATCAATATATCAAGTTATGCGGATTTTTAGAATGATAAAATGGTAATGCATTCATCCAAAGATACATTGGAAGTACCAAAAACTAACAACAGTAAAGCATCTAGACCATCGGTTCAATTAGTCATCTTGGTAGCTTCATTTCTATAATGAAGTAATGATACAAACATAGCAAGGTCATACTGGATGTGTTCCAAAACACGCTTCAATCGGTTCCAACTAAGTTCTATGATACATTCGTAGATTATTTCGACATCCTACATGTTACGACATCACAAGCAAGTCAAAAGAAGAACATCAGCTCACACCTTAAAATCAACACAAAATCGGAATTCTGATACAGTGAAGCTGCCCCCACTCTAACTTCATTTCTTTGCCTGCCATAATATATTCCGACATCTCAAATTAGAAAAAAAAATCACTATGGATCTTGCGGTCTTAAGTGGAGTTGAACAAATAACATAGTACATGCATCATTTACACATGCATACCCCACCATTCAATTGCACATGAACTCAATCGAACAGTAACAATCAATTTTCACTGAATATAACTCAATCAAAATATAAAAAAATAAAAAAAATATATAAATCTTGGTTAACTCAATATTTTTTTGATTATTTTGGAATTTGGGGTTTAGAATGTAATTGAATTATTTTGGAATTTGGAGTTTAGAATGAAATTGAGGACTGTTTTGCAAGTTTTTAAAAGTTGGGGGACCTAAATGCAAGAACCTAAAAAGTTTAGTGACCATTTTTATAATTTACCCTAATTTTTACTGTTATGTCAGCATCTTCTAACGGCAGTGTAACGTCGGGGACCATATGCACACGGACTAAATGTTGAGAGATTGTATTGTAAGTTTTAAAAGTTAAGGACCTAAATGAAAGCTTCAGAAAAGTTCAGTGACCATTACTATACTTTACCCTTAAATTAATTATATTTATAACACCCTAAATCACTGAATGATTTCATTATATCAATGTTTTCCTATTCTTTCATAAATTTTCTCTAAATTAATTCCTTTTTTTTCTAGGGTTTAAGTTTGTACAACACCTTTTTACGAATTAAAAGACATTTTTTTTGTACAGCAATTTTACCCTGGACATATTACATATATAAGATATGGGTTGATATCGACAAATAGTTTTACATAGTTTAATTAATTTAATTTAGTTAAAAATATATTTTTAAAAAAGTTTAAATATTTAATTTTTTTTTTAATTCAGAGCTTCTAATCTACTCATTCAAGCAATTGAATTACTGGAGCCTAATCCACTTGCGTACACCAGAAAACTAAGTTATATTTAGTGTTTGTTAATAAAAAACGTTGAAAATATACTAGTACTGTTACCTCTTTAAAATAATGCCTTTGATTGTTTTTCTTTGTTTTCATGATTTCATTAGACGTCACGTTAGGTATATTATTCCAACCAAAAAATTATTAAATGGAGGTTTAATTGAATAAGAAAATTCAATTGGGAAACAGTGAGGATGCTGGTTGCATTTGTTTGTGGGTGGCTTGAAAGTCAACTCATGGTTTGCTAAAATGTTGGAGATTAAACGCAACTATATTATTCAAAGTCTAAGTCTTCAAATTTTGTTTGAATTATGGTTGGTTTTTCATGCACAACATTTGTCGATTTTCTGCAATTTCAAGCACAACGGACGTTTATCATACACCTTCAAACTTAACTTACCGAATAATTAATTGAATTCTTAAACTTCAAAAACAAAATTCATGTTCACATTTATCAAACTCTCACGTCATGCAGAGGTAGATATCAATACTGGCATTAATGATAAACTATTAATCATCTGTTTTTCTTTTGAAATCCTTGGAATTTATGGAATTTTACTCAAGCAAGTCAATCATTATTGATGGCGATATTTAGGATG